TGCTGAAAATGTTAGGTATGAGATCTTTAGGGAAGGATGGAAGAAAAATCCCTTCCATTGGGGCAAACCAAATAGCTGTAGGCAGAATAATAATATCCAGCACATTTAAATGGTTCATGGACTGAATTTGTTTCTGAAGCTGCATGAGACTCTTCCCTCTTGCTTTTTCATTAAAATGAGGGATATTTTGGGGGGAAAATTCAGGTATTTCTTAGGGGCTAGTCCTTGTAATTACCAGTGCATTTGTGGCTTATGCTGATGTCACTGGTGAGGCAGAGTAAATGACAATCCATAATGGATCTGCATACTGGGGTTTATCTAAGAACCAAAGAGATGAGAGCTTTTACCCTACTTGAGTATTTCACACACTCACTTGCTCCCACCCCCAGCACCTTGTTCACTACATCTCAACTTCCATTCTTAGCAGGGAGCTGGCTGCTGTTCTGGCAACACAGGGCAGAAAGTCATCTTGGTTCCTGGCTGTGCAGGTGCTCGCAGTTACCATTCTCAGGTGTTACTGGACAAGATGAGGATGTTGTCATGGGAAGATTATTTCTGCAGCTCGCACCTCTTATCTCACAGCCCCTTTCTAACCCCACTCCAACTGCGACTGTAGGGTTTGTCTTTCTTACAACGCTATCTCTAACCCTAACCATGGGCTCTGATCTCCAGGATCTTCCACCACTTCCAGTGTATTTCCTATAGCCAAGATCTTCACTTTCTTTTCAGGCCCCCCTTCTTCATTTCAAGTCCTACTCCTCTTTTTCAGGAGCCATTCTTTTTTGTACCATGTCTTCTTTTGGGACCTACAAGCCCCTGGTTCTTCTAGCCTAAATAGTCTATGTGGAGAGGGATAGAGCGTGTCTCGTGTTGCTTTATTAGTTGAAGGATTCAGGACATGCCATTTTTGTTTAGTTCAGGATTTAGCAAGTAGCGGGCCTGATTGTTTAAAAAAGTTCAAATTCAGACATTCTCCCACCCAAACACATACACCCAATTATCTACTGCCTGTTAGCATTCACAATTTAGGCTATTTTTAGCCTATGACAACTGATCAGGGATGAAATTTTCCCTGGGGGGAGGAGGGAAGGAATTGTTTAATGCTGTCTCTAGTTCACTAAGCCTTGATGCTGTCTTTGAAAATAAAACAGAAACTGTCTTCCTGCTTCTATTTCCCATTTAACTGTTTTGCAGGATGGATTCTATTTGTCATTGCAACGTGGTGTGGACTGGTTTGCAGTGATGGTTGGGATGCCTCCAGAGCGGAAATACAACAGCGTCTTGTTTGGAGGTATGGAAATTAAACAAACAAGCTAACCAAGACAAAAAAAAATTTAAACCATGTTGTTTTAAAGTTATTTGCACAGTTGATGTGAGGAATGATGAGGAAAATGACAACAAATACAAAAAGCATACTTGCCTGTTACTAGATTTAGATTTAAGTAACACAGAAAATGTCTCTTACAGTAGGCTATAAATGATTTTGTTTTTATCATGCTGATAGCAATGAAGAGTTAGACAGCCCCATCTCTGTCATTTGAAGACCCCTAGACAGGCAGGAGGAATGGACCAACAGGAACCTTATGAAATTCAGTAAGGACAAATGCAAAGCCCTACCTGTAGGAAAGAGTAGCCCCTTGCAGTGACACAGACTGGACACTGACTGGTGAGGAGCAGCTCTGCTGTAAAGGCCCTGGGGGTCCTAGTGAATGGCAAACTGAGCATAAGCCAGCCCCGGCAGCAAAAGCACCACCACCACCTGGGCTGTGTGAACAGAAGCAGAGCCAGTAGATTGAGGGAAGTGATCATCCCCCTCTACTCAGCAGCTGTTAGACCACATCTAGAGCATTGCATCCAGTTTTGGCTGCCCAGTACAAGAAAGGCATCCATACACTGGAGCGAGTTCAGCAGAGGGCCACGAAGATGGAGAGGCTTGTTCAGCCTGGAGCTAATAGCAGCCTTCTAATACCTGTGGGGAGGTTATCAAGAAGACAAAGTGAGGCTCTTCATTGTGGTGCATGGTGGCAGAAAGAGAAGCAGCAGGTGTAAGTAGAAGCAAGAGAGGTTCAGACTGGAAATAAGGAAGAACTTTTTCACAGTGAGGATGGTCAGTGGAACAGACTGCCCAGAGAAGTTTTGTAGTCTCCATCCTCAGAGGTTGTCAAACCCTGACTGGATGAAACTCTGAACAATCTGGTCTGACCTCATAGCTGACCCTATGAGCAGACGGCTGGGGTAGGTGACCTCCAGAGGTCCCTTTTAACCTGAAATGTCCTATGATCTTGCCTAATTTGTTCTACAGATTGCTACAGAAGTACAGGCCTGCTGTTCCTTATTGTCAGACTGCCAGCTGAGGGTCAGGAGCCTACAGTGCTAGACGCTGCACAGTCACAGAAATTACTCTCCTTTCACAATTGATCTGCATGTGACTGGAGATCAATCAGTAGGAAACACTGGAAATAGAAGCTTATGAGTTCAAGTCTCACCTCCCCCTTGGGCAGCTATAGTGCAGCACTGCTTCTAAATCTCATTAGTCCTATTAAAAGCATCAGAGCTGCTGACCTGCAGGGTCCAGAAGTATTTGCTGTCACTAGGACACTAGTGTGGGTGAGCTGCAGCAGAAGTAGTGCAGGAAATCCAGCAACATATATGTCGTGTTACACATCAGAGGCTCTTTTGACTCCTTGCGATCTAAACAGTTGTGAGGAAACTGGGATTTCAAAGTATAAAGACATGAGGGTGTCTGGGTTAATTTTAATTGGAAATGTCTAGACTCTCTCTTTTTAGTGAGCTGAAGCTTCCCCCAAGATAAACAAAAGGCTTTTAAACTAAAAAAACCCACAAAGCTTTATTAGAATATGCGTGAATGTATTGTTACTACTTAAAGTATAACAGACATTAGAAAGTTTAAAAACAAAATGTCTTTGCAGACATATTTTTATTTCTGTGCTCATTTTCAGTCAGATTACTGGCTTTGAATGGTAGGAAAGAGTTTTGTTTAATACCTCAGAAACTACTTTCTGTCTCCTCTAAGGCCTGGCTGCAAGCCCTCCTCCTTGCTTCTTCTCACCATCTCAGACTGTGTTTAAATAAGGGGCTGGGAGCTCCCAGTTGTGTGCACCTTGTTGCCGTTCCTTTTACCTGCTGTGTCCTGTACTCTTGGGAGTGCTGTGTGCCTTGGCTTGGCTCAGTTGCTTTCAAGGGGGAGAAATCTCCCTGCTCCTTCCAGAGGAGTCCAACTGACTCTTTTGCCCTTTGAAGAAAATATAGCCTCTAACAGAGAACATGCAAATAAAATAGACACTGTTTGTCTCAGAAAGGAAGCTGATATCCCTTGCTGTTTTGCCTTGCTTTTTTCTCTCTAAGAGAGAAGTATTGAGAGAAAAGTATTTGGAAGCAGTATTGAGTAGTGATGGGAATGTTCACTAATTACCTGGCAGCTACAGGCAGTGAGGGTGCAGGCAAGGTAGCTAAATTAACCTGGTATCTGTCACACTCTGCTGTCTTTGATGACAGCTTTTCTTACTGAGCCATCTAATTTGCTAAACCAGCAGATAACTTTTTATTTTGAATTTCTTTTTTTTCTGGATTAGTTTTCTACCAGATTGAGTTGAATTATCTCACTGGAGAGTTCACCAAGGCTGCAGAAGCAGGGGAAGATGGACAAGCCATTTTACTTGTAGTCAGCTCCTGTCTTAGTCCATCTTGTTTGATTGCATCTTCAATGGTTATAATGGAAAGGTTCATTATACTTGTGATGTTAAGCAGAGGCCACTGCAGTCTTTCTGCAGCCTGTATTCCTTCATTGTCCTCATCTGCAACATGGAGCATAGGATTGGAAAGATATTTGCTAGATCTTCGTGTTGCTTCTCCCAGTGCAGGATATATTCCATTGTCTTTCATATTTGCTTAGACTGCAACCTCTTCAGGGCAGAAACCTTCTCTGCCCATGTCAAGGCCCAGAGGGCACCAACACTTAGTTGCTGTGACCTACCTTTACCTGCAGGTTTTCTGCCCGGTGATTCAGGAGCTGTACTTCAGCTCAGGCCCAGGCCTCGCCTGAGCTGTATCATAGGTATAGTCTTGTCTCCAGGGCTGTCTCTGGCCCTGCTTCTTGGATGGACCTCGGACCTAGATTGCAGGTGTCTTGTCTCCTGAATAGACCTACGTTGTAGTCTTGATTCCACTCCTTTCTCTGACCATGTCTCCTGCTGGTCTTGACTGGACTCCCTGGATGGACCTGATGTATAACCCTTGCCTTGTTTGGGACTGTCAACGGACCCTGCTAGCGGCACCCTGCTCTGCCCAACCCATCCGGATCGTGTAGGGCTGCGCCCTCGTTGGTGAGGGCATTGCCAGTGCTGTGGTCACCCTCAGCTCCCAGCTCGTTCCCCCAAGTGGAACAGCCCCACTCTTGCTGCTCCCTAGCTGTGAAGTCTTTGGCATGTCTGGGTGTTTTCACAGTGCTAGAAATACAAGGAAGAAAACTTGTCTCTCATTAACATAAACTGCCAGTGTACCAATCTGTAAGATTTTTTTTTTTTTTTACAGTTTTTTGAGCTTTTCAGCTATCATAAGCAGCTGTTCTCCTTAAGGTGTTCAGTATCAATATTCTGCCTCCCTCAAAGTTGATGGGAGCAGAACTTACGGTCTCTCTCTCTCCTGTGCCTTTTAAAGCTTTGATAGCTGAATGATCTGAGACACATAAGCCAGTTTTTACTTTAAAGAAAAACTATGACAGCAAGGCATTTTTTTTGCCTGCTTGTTGAGACTGTAGTGCAAATTAATAGGTGTGTGAAGGTAGAAGTGGCAAGAGAAAAGAGGAATTAAAGATCACAGAAACAGGAGGCAGATTTCAAAAGACTCTTGGAGTCTGGAATCACTCATACCTCTTAGTGCGCGTCACAGCAGTTCTTATGTCCTTCTTTCTATGATAAGAAAGAAAGGAAAACTAATTAAGTGTGACAGAATAAGGTTCAAACAATCAAAAAAAAATCTTAAAAGAACTGTGACTATTAAAGACTGTGTTACCTCTGCTTTAAGAACACATAATGTATGTAGTCAGCTGGGGAAGCATTGGAGAATCAGCATTCCATTATAACCAGTGAGTTTCAAACCCCTTCTCACCAGTGAAGTAACCTCGTGAATCATCTAGTTGATGCCTGTTACTCTGGTCTGTCGGTGTATCTGGTCTGTCTGTATTTGCCACCTCAGTTCAATGACAATGCAAGATCAGTGTTTTGAGGGTGGCTTAATTGCAGAGACAAAGCTGTTCTTTACAGCTGTTGTTTTACATTTAATTGCGTTCTTTTAAAGCACATAATGGTGTGATAGGTCTAGAACAGGTTGACTGTCTTTGTATTTAAGATGAAGGCAGCAAGTCTAATGATATATGTATCTTTTTTTTTTTTTTTTTTAGGTCTGATTGGATCAATCTTTTCCATCCTACAGTTTTTCTCCTCTCCGCTTACTGGTGCTGTGTCGGACTGCTTGGGCAGAAGGCCTGTGATCTTGATGACAGTGGTATGTCTCTCATGCTGATTTTAGTCATGCCATCTCAATACGCAGTTGAAGGCATTATGATCTTGTGGTTAGCCCAAAGGACCAGGCAATTGAATGTTCTAGATCTGTTGGTTGTTGACTGCTTCTTACCAAGTCACTTGGCCACACTTCCAAATGCAAGTGCTTAAGCTGAGCTTCCCAGATCCAGAATTGTACATAGAAGGCACCAAAACACCTGTTCCTGGGATGTTCCAAAATCCCTTTCCCCTGTGGATGGGAGTATGACTTCAGATGCTCTGTTTACAAATGTTAGACTTAATCCCTGTATATTTGAGTTCCCCAAGTGACTAATGAGGGCTGATCACTTTGTGACCTGTTTCACAGAGCCTGGGGATTGTTGGTTAGGCAGTGCTATGTGGCAGTGTAAGATGTATTTCTTATGAACATGAACATTCTCCAAAATGTTTTCTCTGTTGCTGGTCAGAGTATGGATTTCTAATGACAGAAGCAGTGCAGAGCAAGTACGTACATACATGGTGGAACTTGGCAGTGAATGATACACAAATCCTGATATCCTCTAGGCTTGTGGAGAGTGAATTAAATAAGCATGTGTGCTTATGATTGATTATGGGCTAGAACTGTGTATTCTTCTTATTTTGAACTAAGAATTCTCTTGAAGTTGGAAACAAATGGAGTGGAATGTACAAAAGTGGTTTTGTGCCCAGGACTGATTTAGCTCCCTGTGAAGTTTCTTTGCTCTTCTAATTTTGTTAGTGATCTCACACTTATATGAAGTATGTATGGATTTCTTTCTACTTCTTTTGTATCACTGTCCAGGACATAGTATGGTATCAGTATATTCAGACATTTCTGTTACATGGGTTTTGGAGCAGCTGTTGAAAACAAACGAACAAACAAAAAAATTAAATGTTTAGCTGGGAAATGTGTAGAAATGATATCAACTTTGCTCTGCTTTATAAAGAACCCTTTCTTGCTTCTGCAGATGGGTTTGATAACATCATACTCACTATGGGCTGCCTCTAGGACTTTTGGCGTTTTTCTTCTCTCCAGGATCATAGGTGGAATAAGCAAAGGGAATGTCAGCCTCTCCACAGCTATAATTGCTGACTTGCACTCTCCAAAAGCACGAAGCAAGGGCATGGTGAGTTACACATGTGGGGCATATATTTGGGTTTATTAGGTAACTTTTAACAGATTTCAGGTCCTCAGAATGTCTTTCTCAAGTGTGTATTCATTGGTCAAGTGAAAACATGACTTTATATACTACCTTGCTTCTGAAAAGATGCCCGACCATTTTGCTGATGAGCTCTCAGACTTTACTTGTCAATGACTTTTATCTACAAGTGAAATGCAGGTGCCCTAGAGCTGGAAAAACTACCTGTGTGAGTGTTATAACTGTTACTCCTGCTGATAACTTTAATCCTGATTATGATAGCTTAGAAACCAAAACGTCTTATGGCCCAGCTTTGGTAGATGGAACCCAAGTTACAGGACAACCCATTTTTCTCGCCTTCCCAAACTGTGGAAGTGCAGCAGCACTGCACAGCATAGCACAGCATGCCTCCTGACTTCTTGGATGCTGCAATGGCTTCAGGATCCGAGCTCAACACGTAAAGGATGTGGCATTTGGCTGAGTGAGCAGCAAGTGGTATGAACAGCTGCCCTGCCCTCTTCCAGAAGGCAGTGGTCTGTATGGAAACACCTTGCAGGCTGAACTTTGCCTGTGAATTACCAGTTAGATCTTTTATTTTTTGTAAAAACCTTGGGGGCCCAAACTTCTCTTAACAGATTGTTATAAACCACTATGTGGGACAGCTGCTTCTTGGGAGGGGAAAGCTTTAGATTTCACAGTGATAGCTAATGAATTTTCCAAGCAATTTATTATAGTCCTGGTGAGCCAAAATATATTTATGGCAAGGGATAACCATACAGCACTAGTAAATAAAATGGGTCAGGGCCTATTTTTAGGGCCTGAGAGCAAGTCACTTAGTACAGCATGGCTCACATCCATATGGCTCATACTCTCTTCTTTTCCAAAGCAGAGTAGGCATGTTCATTTTGCTTTCTGGGAAGAGAACAGCATCTGACTGATGCTATTCTCAAACTGTGATGGGCCATTACCTAGGAGAGCGCTAGCTGGGCAGGCTGAAAAGACACTGGAGACTATGAGGTGACACCTGAGTGCCCTGGCCTTGTTTAGTTTAGTACTAGAGATGCAGTTAAATAGGCTCAGGAAAGCAGGAGGATTGTGTTCTGGGATGACACATGTTTGGGTCCTGCATATGCAAGTATACATCTTTGAATGTCTCTTAAAGAAAATATGCCAGATCATGAACTGTTGTATTCTTAAGCCGTCTCACTGAGCTAATGACTCAAATTGGTGCTCTTTTAAGCTCCCATCCAGTGTGTACAGATTCTACCTCTTTTCCTATGTGTTGGTTTCATCATGAGCTAATAAATCTGCTTGAGTACCTGCACTAAATTCAGGTTGTTCTGGGAAGCCTCTCAGCCTGTTTGCTCTATGAGACATAAATTCCTAAATACAGAAATTGCCAAAGCATTTTAGAAGCTATAGACATCATTATGACTTCCTACTGTGGTGCTGTCTTCCCTTCTCCAGTTTTACACTACAAAAGCTTATCCTGTGGCTGAAGGGTCTGCTGGCTGAGCAGTCCCTGAGGTGAAAATCATTATTTCCCTTCCCAACTTCCTTTCAGTCATAACCACGTTGCAGTTTGTTCCTGCCGCTTTCCTGACTGGACAGAAAATAAAATTGGTTATTTGGAAATAACAGGTTTTTCATGCTTAATACTCTTTGCTGTGCACTCCTTACATCCTCAGGATGGTTAGGTTCTGTATCTGGTTGCATTTCTTTAAGGCAATTGCCAGGAAATCCCAATTGTTTTAGAACTGAGCTACCTGAACAAACTAGTGTCTGAAACTGCATGTCTGTGTTCATTGTATCACTGCAGGCAATGATTGGCGTCGCTTTCTCCCTTGGTTTTACCCTGGGTCCCATGATCGGAGCTTACCTAGCCATGGAGACAGAGAAAGGAGAAGTATTCTATCTTCGTTCGGCATTGTTAGCACTCGTGTTTTCTGTGGCTGATTTAATTTTCATCTTCTTCCTACTTCCAGAGACACTTCCCAAAGAAAAAAGGGTAAATGGGCTATCAAACTAAAGATCTGTGTTTCTTGCAAAAATAGGATTTGAGGACTGTTGAAATACTGGAAACAATGAAGAGGCAGCTTGGGCAGTGTCTCAGGAATTTAGCTCATTCCTGGGACCAGGATTAAGTACTATTATTCAGACTGGTGCCAAAGTGGTTGCATGATGGTCCCATCTCCTAGCCCAGTGTAATATGAAAATTCTTTATGGCTAATATGACTACTTAATTGCTAGTTTTGGGTATGTTAGGTTTAGAGTTCTCAAAACCTAACGGGAACGTGGGAGGGAGAGGGTGAATTTTAAACTATGACCACAATGACTCCCTGGGGAGGAATTTTAGCTGATTGTAAAAGTAAACACATCAGAGACTAGATTTTCTTTCATTTAGCCAGTATATGTTAGAAATTTTCTTAGCTATTATCTTGTCTTTGCTTATTTTGAATACTAAAGTAGCAAACAATTATCTCTGAGCTGTGCTGTCTTCCACAGATACAAAATACCTACATGTGCTAAAATTCAGTGACTGTTTAGATTTGTGGGGCCAAACATTTATTAACATTATGATTTAATATTGTGTGATTGGACACTGTCCAGGATCTATCTGATTAAAAGTCTCTTGGAACAGTCTCCTTTGAAGTGTGGGAGAGACTGAATTCAGCCTGAGGTATCTGGGTGAAACACTCAATTTGAGGCTTTCAGCTGGATTGGATCTTTTCTATGATCCTTGTTTCCCAGCACCACTCAGCTGTTGAAGTGTGCTTGGTCTCTGGATAGCCAAACCCATGTGACACTGAGAATTGTTCAGGAAACTTTTGTCTGCCATGCTCCTACTGGGGCAAAACTTTAGACCTTCCCTGAGTGTTTCCCAGCAGGTTATCCCCCATGTGAAATTGGTCACTCGCATTATGTTCCCAAGTACTACAGCTATTTTATTTTATTTTAACAGTTCTTCCGTGTGTCATCTGTTCCCCTTTCCTATTTGGCTGTTTCTAAACATTCCGGATAAAATTCTGTTCTTAGAGCTGCACACTCTGGGGTGGTGGCAACATATTGATGTAGGGAAGTGCTGTAGAGCGAATCTGTGTTCTATAAACAATTCCACCTTTGCTGTAGAGGGCTAAATGGCTTCAGCGCCTTTTAAGACTGTGTGATGACTGAATACCTCCCTCCTGCTTTTATTGTACTCTTGAGAGTTCTTCTGATAAGCTAGTCTGTGTTAGCCGGCATGACTGAATTTTGATAAGAAATGTGAGTGCTCCGTCCTTGCTTTTTGGGGCTCTCTCTCTCTGCAGCAGTGGGCATTGCATGAGGAGGATTGATAGGTGCCTCTCAGGGTCAGGTCCCAGTCTTGCAAAATACACAGGGTGTTTGATTGCTGATGAGATAGTGGTTTGTCTGGCATTACAGCTTCTTGTGACTGGTATCAGGGCTTTTGTGCTGTTTCCTTTCAGCCTGCATCTGGGCAGTGGCCCCATGCGATTTATGTGTTCTAGGGTTTTTGTAATTTCACTTACTAGGCTGCTTTGCTCTTTTCTTCGGTAATTCCTCCCACTTTCTGAGTGGGAAGGGAGCAGTTTTCTTGGCCTGTGGATGACACAGGGAAGGCAGGTGTGTTGGCTGCCTTTCTGGAACTTGGCTGGGCTGAGCTGAGCTGGAGCAGGTGCTCCCAGGGTACAGGAGTGGATGCATTGGAAGGACAAAGCTGTAAGAAGAGCAGAAATGATAATGATAACTGTAGGAGAATGTGCCAGTGGGGTCAGACATCCATTTCCTTGAAATATGCTGTGTTCTCATTATATTCTTGTTTCTCTATCAGTCCTCTTCACAGGAGAGAAAAATTAATTCACTGATATTGGAATTAACTTGTAGAAAGGGGAAGGTGGAGGGGGACAGGGGAATGAGGATGAGTTTTCATCCAAAGAGAACAGAATTTTCACTATCCTTTTTTTTTTTTTTTTTCAACTGTTGCACAAGTTTATCAGGTGAAGAGTGACCAGAGGACTGTACCTTTCACCTGTCAGAGACACGGGTCTTATGTGAGGTGGCCAAAATAGCTCCTGCTGGGAGCTGCTTGGGAGAAGGAAGGAACAGAAAGGTCTCTAGTGGAATCTGTCCCCTTTAAGAGCTTTTGAGTTCATTTTTAGCTAAGCTAATTGTAGGCAAGGCTGCCTAGTTGGAGGGAAGGTCTTACAACTTCTTTTTCTGGTGTCCAGCTAATGATGTAGGGACTATGTGTAGGGCTACGCAGCATCCCTAGCAGACTTATGGAAAAACAAAGCTTTTGCTCTATGCATGCTAAGCAGTGTCTGAGTTGAAAGGTAAGGCTGCAGCTGGAAGGCCCAGGCTGCATTCCTGATTTGCACTGACTCTGTGCCTTCAACACATGTTACTTAGTCTCTCTGCATTAGAGGAAAACACAGTAAACAAAGACACTTTGAAAAATGTCTGCCGTTCAAGGTGACTTTTGGGGTGATCACGAAGTAAAATTGAGCAATTTTGGAGTAATAAATCATAAGCATAGAAATTAAATACAAGTTAGATGTTGCAGATTTTGAACCTGTGAAGAATCTAAACTCCTTGTAGCTGGTGACATTGACTGAAATTGGCAGTGTATGCTTTGTTATTTGGGGGTGTTGAAACACTTTTGTCAGTTTTAGGGCAATATTTTCATTATCAATCAATGGATGAAGTCACTTCTAGACCACTGCTTCTAGGACAAAGACAGGAGAAATGAAAAGAAATTTACCTTCATGCACACACAGGTATATTAAAAAAAAAACCAACAACCTATATATATACTTTTCATAAAACACTTAAGATTTTAAACATATATATAATGTATATCCTCTGGACCAAACTAAAATCAGCATTGTAGTACAAAGCAGCTTGTTACCCTGTCTGACATGGATAATAATTCAAAACAGGTACAAACTACAGGCTTTTTTATTCCTGGCGCACATGCTTGAAGAGAGTTCCTTGTTACCAGATTCTCTGTGCTGTAGTACAAATACCATCATGCCAACAAATGCAGGAACTGAGGATTGCTACAAGCCAGCTTCAGGAAATCCTCTTACAGACCTTTTAAAAGCATGAGGAAACTTCTTCTTGGGAGTGTCTGTTTACTCTCTGCAAAACATGCAGTGGAAGGGGAAATAAATATCCCAGTTTGTTCTGTGTGGATCAGCAGCTTTATGGCTTTATCCAAAACCAGCCTGGTATATTGAACTGGTTGCTGTTGTGAGACTAATGGGCTCCAGAGCTCTACTGTCAGGTACTTAGAAGCTCTAACTGTCAAAACAAGACAGGGGTCATGTTAATACTGTATTGAAGGTTGATTTGTTTACAGCTTTATAAAAGCCAGTCCATATGAGTCCTCAGGTCATGCACGGAGATTAAGTTCCACTGATAATTTGACCTTTAATCTCTGCCCTCAAGGGGTAACTCCCTCCCTCCCTATCTGGGAAGAGAAGGAAGCTCATCAGATACAGTCTATGCAGTGCTTTGAAGTTGTGAAATACTAAGTGTGATTATTCAGGCTTATTGAGTCTGTCTTATCTCTTCCTGTGACTGTCAGGTAAAGTGACAGTCTAAATTCTCCTACTTTAAAAGGAATTGTTTCCTTAAGAATTTAGACATTATTTCTTCTTTAGTTTTTTCTTTAATTTTCTGTACCTTAGAATAAAAAATAAACAAATTAAAAAATTAAATTCTCTATAGATCAAGGAATAAGCATCTCCTGGATGCCTGCTGATAAGGAGCAGGGAGAGTGCCACTAAGTGCATAATTAGGTTGAGATGTACTGAGTACAAGGACCAGAAGTGCTACAAAATAATTTTTCCTCCTTAAAAAGCCATGCAATGTGACTGGGCAGAATCTGTCTAGAAATCTCTCTAAAACCTCTTGAAAAACTCTATTTTCCTTTTCTTCCCCAGGAGGTGTCACTGGCTGGCTAAAAGAACAACCAGTACCAAAACAGACTGTTCTTTGATGTGTTACAGTTACTGTTTTAAGACTTGTGGCACACAAGCAAACCCCCAGCATCCTGTGAGCTTGCAGGCAGATGTGCCATTATTTTCCTAGTAAATGTTCCTTGGACATGAGGGATGATGCAGAAGGTGAACCAAATAAAGCCAGCTTCAAGGCTGTGGAGAGTGAACCTTCTGCTTTTTAAGAGTCCAGAGAAGAATCTGTTTTCTGTCTTCAGTGAAAGCTGCTCTACCTTCTAGTTATGGTGCTGGAGCCAGTTCTGTGTTCAGAAAGTCTGAGCTGTTACTGAGGGTCACTCAAACCCCAGTGCCAGTTGCCGTGTTTCATCTCAGATAATTTGTGTAGGTGTAGAAGCACATTTGACTGTTACTGCCAATTTCTTGCAGTAGTTATTACATCAGGTTATAAATAAACCTCTTTCTTTCTCTGATCAGGTCTCTTCTGTGATGTCTGGCTTTCAGGCAGCAGTTGACTTGCTCAGTCCTTTGGCTTTATTTCGGTTCTCTGCACTCACCCGAGGAAAGGAATCCCCTTCAGAGGAGAGTAAGTGTTAGCTGGCTTTTTGTATTAATATTGTATGTCTTTGTATGTGGTGGTGGCTTCTAAGTGAAAACTTGACTCAAACCGTTTCAGAAGCAGCACTCTGTTCGCTCATTTAAAACCCACCTCACTAGCTTATGAACAGGGAATTGCAAGTTCCCTTGAACGCTGGTCCTGTTATTCCCCAAATAAGTTTTTAGAGATCAGTAGTTTCAAGATTTCTGACTCACTACTTGCTTTTTCTTCAGGCACTGGCTGCAGCATGCCATAGGCTGCAGTAAGTGAAGGGATTTACAAAGATAGATCAAGGCATGAGTAAGGGAGATGTGAGTTTGCTTATTCAAGCTGCAAACCAGGAAACTTCAGACTGGAATTTTGTTTCTCAATTCAGGACTTGGAGATGTAGGATTTGAGCTGGCCATTTCTCTATATGAAATTAGTTAAGCTGTAGAAAATAAATCAGTGTTTACCAGGTACACCGACTCATCGTTCGTTCCTCCTTGCTGCTGCATCAGGAATAGAGTAATATTTGCCATTTTGGAGAAAACCTGTTAAACCCTGCGTTGGCAGAAAAATAAGGTAACCTGGCACAGACCATTTGCATGTTAGAAAAGGGATACTGTGCTTTAGCCAATATCATCCTGAGAGGAGCATCAAGGTATTAGGTGGAATTGATTAAAATAAATAAATACTATAAATAAATGAATCACCTTATAGGTGGGAGTGTGAGTGTAGGACAGAAGGGCTGGAGTAGGTGAGTGAGACCAAGGTGACCCAGAGAGAGATGAGTCTGTTTGGCTCTCCTCCCCTTATAAGAAGGGAGGTAGTGGGCAGAGTAATGTTGTGGGATGTCTAGTATGCATATTTAAAATGAGCATCTTACCTGAGAATTTTTCCCTGTACAGTTGATAAATGTTGCTCTACTATTGCTGTTACATTCTCAAGCTATGCTTGAAAAACATCACCATGTTTCTCTCTCTCTCTCTCTTCTCCTTTTTTTAAAAAAAATTCCTCTTGGTGTTTGTTTGTTTTCTTGTTTGTTTAGATCTTTGGAATCTCAAAATCTTGGGCCTGGCTTATTTCCTGTACCTCTTCCTGTTTTCCGGCTTGGAGTATACACTGAGTTTTCTCACCCACCAGAGATTCCAGTTAGGTACAGCACACTTAGAAAATAAATGTTATATATTTTGTCTAGGATATTTTCCGAAATCTTGATTTAAGGTATCTTCATTTATTTTCAAGAGAGGCTTTATGAGGTTAGTAAAAACACTCAGAAAGCAACCACTGCATTCAGTGATACGTGGGCTTTGTGGGAGAATATGTGAAAGTACAGGCACACTGTTTATCATGAAAGGAAATAATCTACAACTTTTAATCACTAGAGAAAATCAATACACAAATTAAATTAAAGCTTCTGAAATATATATAGCTGGGCTAGTTTTACTGATTATAATAAAACCTTTTCTCATCTTGCCCAGAAGACTTCTTCAGTATCAGGACAAATCTTGAAGCTCAAAAAAGGCAAGGGATGGAGGGATAGCTATGTGATTATATTTGCTCATCAGAGTTCTGCATTGCATATGGTGTACAGTGATTATATCATAGAGTTTGATTTCCTTTAGTCAAACACTAGCGAAGAAAGAGAACAGAATCCACTGACAGCAGTTCAGCTTGAAATACTTTTCCTGTCAGCTCATAGGAAGATTTCCAGACAGGAACGTCATCTTGCAGCTTGATTCCTTATGGTGTCCTTCCCTTTAAGTAATTCTCAGGGGGTTGTCGTCTCATCTTTCCCTGTCTGTCTTTCATTACAGTTTGTGGCTGAACTAATGTGTCTGTGTCAAGGAAAGGTTTTCTAGTGTATTAAGCTTACTTCTGCACAGGTTAGCCATGTAGTGAGTTACACAACTTTATGCTGACAGTACAGGCTGTGTGACGAACTTGTTACGGAGGTGAGAACTTTTACTTGAGACTATCCACATAGTTTAGTAGGTAAGAGAGGTGAAAGGGAAATTTGAAGAAATATTTAAGGGTGGAGGGAGCGATTTTGCAAGCTTCCTGGTGCAATACATGCTCACCACCATGCCAGTGCCCACGTTGTGCCTTGGTGACCTTTATCAAACTCTGCATGAGTGATGGCAATGGTTGTGAGAAAGCAAAACACTTGTTTCTTGGAAAGTAACAGCTCCTGTACATATAGCACAGACTTCCATGGCACAGAGTCGTTAATGTGTTGACTCTTTGTGGACCGCCCTAGAAACAACTAAACCATCATAGCAGTCTAGAGAGAATTGCAGCATTTGCTATCAGCGGTCCCATCTCTACATAAGACCTCAGAGATTTATCTTCTTGCTGTTTGCCTGCCATGGACACTAACGTCAGCATATTAAGAACTTTGCGCTGCTCGTGTGAGCACCAAAAAACATTTTCTCTCACTTGTTCAGGAAAGGGTCCACACGGGATTGGTGAATCCCAGGGTGGAATGCTCTATGCGTGACTCCATAATCTGTGTTTTTGCCTCCCTTCTAGCATGCAGCAGGGCAAGATGTTTTTCTTTATTGGAATAACAATGGCTGTGATCCAGGGAGGCTATGCTCGACGAATCAAGCCAGGAAATGAAATCAGAGCTGTAAAAAGGGTAAACAAACAAACAAACAAAATTCTTTTTCTTTTCCCCCACAAATCTGATATGTTAATTTTCAGTCGAAAGTGCAGTGAAGGGTAGTTGGAGGCTATAACTGTACTTGTCAAATAGAAAGAAATTTCTGTCTCTCTGGCTAAACTTTGAAACATTAGAGCCCTTTGTTACCATATCAGCTACAATATTATTGAAACTTCGAGTTCTTCATATACAACTGTAGTAAGGAATGAGAACAGAGTGTCCATCTGTACAAGCTAGGTAAAATGCTGTGAAGATTATGCTTTGTTTCAGCAATTTCTTTTGGAGTGCAGACGTTGAAACTACTAAAGCTGCTTCAGAGCTGATCTCACTCTCTTTCTGGCAAATTATTTTCCGGGATGTCATCAGTCTGGCCATCTCTGTGCTTGACAGGCTTTCCCTAGATTATATTTCACTGGTGGGCAAGGGGAAACAGATTCTTCCTCCAGCCTTTGATTTGTGATCATCAGTATTGCGTGTAACAATAGCATGTACCAATGTTCAGACCTAAGTTTCAGTGATGACAGCCTGCATTTCTTTGTTTTGCTTGCCTCTTTCTTCATAGAGATGATGATGCTGCCGTACTGGGATGCCAGAGAACGGTTCCATGCAGCTTATACAGCTGCAGGACAAGTAGATATGTCTTGTCATTTACATTTGTGCGTGGAACTAAACAAAGCAGGTTTTGAGTGTTTCTGAACTTTTGTTGGCTGCTTGGTAATAGGTATGCTTGGACTGTTAAAGCCTCCATCAATTTATTATACATTATTTTGAGGCCAGTGTGACTGCATTCCAGTGAATTGACTCAGCTTTTCTTAAAAGTTATTTCTGCTGGTGAAACCATCTTCACCCTGCTCCCTGGCCGGCAGAAGTTAACGGCACGCTTGTTGGGTCACACAGGAAGCATTTACCTGTGAATGAAAACTCACACTGCTGTGTCAGTGGCGCTTTATCCCCTGCATCAGCTTCATCCATGTGCTCTGCCAGCCTGCTGTGTTTGCTGTCACTGCACCACAGTTTATGCAAACTGTGGTTTGCCCTACTAATTTTTTATATTCCTTCCTCTTCCTTGCACTTAGAAGTGTAGTCACCTCAAAATGCTCAGTTTAGTTGGTTTGGGCTGATTGCTTCTCATAAACACCCATGTGCACAGTGCAGAAACTCGCTGGCCCTGAGGCACGTTTTCTGTGGATGGATGGATGTGGCTTGAGTGGCTTTTGTGGGAGTTCCCCCTTTTGCTGAAGTTATTCTGGCAATTTGTTTGTGGATCTGGATCACATGGCACATGTGGCCTCTCTTAGCACAGTGATTACAGTAGCTCATTTATAACTGAATCTTCAAAGTGAGACATTTGGTGGGAGTGAATACCCTCTTTTATGAAACAGGCAGCAGATCTTCACCGATCTTTTCTGCAAAGCTCTGTATGCGAGGGAGGCATCACAGGGAAGCCGAAGTCCAGGCTCTTGGAGGAGGTGAAGAATGTTTTTTCTTCTGGGATTTGAATTTCAAATGCTATTCCTCCCTCCCTCCCTCCATTTTTTCTTCTTGGCTCCAGGAGTACGGACTCTGACAGCTAAAGATAAAATCAGTCAATACTGCTGAGAAAAAGCAGAGGAGCTGTAGTCCTGTTGCACACAAGCTTTTTGATCTCTTGTGCCAGCTCAGGATATGAAGAGTTAAACCTAGATTTCTGTCCAGTTCAACACAGAACAAGAGGAAAAAATCCCCCCAAAATAGTAGATTGTGTGCGAGAGGTCATCTTTTCCTCAGTTGCGGGAAATCGGTGGTGGGGTAACTACAGCCTGTCTGACCGGTGACTCCAGCCCGCATGTGGTCTGCAATCATGTGATAGTTAGTGAGAGAGAACAGACGAGTAAATTGCACTGATGTGCAGCCATCCAGGTGAATCTAAAATGTCTACTTGGGAAGAAAGGGTTTTCTGCTTCTAACTTAAATGTAGTCCCGTCAGGGGGAAGAGAACTGGCAGGACACCTAGTGTTAGGCTTCAACAAGCAGGGCTTAAATGTAACCGTGTGACTCATTCATTTTGCAGGCTATTCTGTTGCTGATTCCAGCTTTCTTGTTAATTGGATGGGCTGCAAATGTGACCATGCTGAGTGTTGGACTGTTGCTGTACTCTTTCGGTGAGCTATTCAAAATGCACTGAAAGCTAAGCACAAATAATTTTTCTTCATATATTTATTCACCCTGTTAAAAAAGATGCCCTTCTGATTTCACACTATAAGTAACAGAAAGTTGATGTTTCCGTGTATAGAATATGGAAGAAATAGTGTCTTGGTTTGGTTTTGTTTTTCTGATGCTGTTTGTATCACAGGAAGTTACCATGATGATATTTGGAAGCATCCCCAGTGCTCCTGTTGTCCTGTCTTGCTGGGGAGCTCTTCAGGGTGTTTTTTTCACCTAGGAAACAAAATATTCACTAAATAGTTCAGCTCAGGAAAAGGAGAGACAGCATGTCTTTGTATTTCTGTGGTGGCCACATGATTTCTTTGGCAACAGGCTGAAGAGACCCGCGCGCGCTGAAGCTGAAGGCCAGCGGGTGCGTTCAGGCTGAGCGTGACTGAGGGTAAATCGGTGTTGCCCTGAACGTTGTGGTGCGGGGCTGTGCTGGCTGGACACCGCTCTGTGCTCTTGCATTGCAAGCTGCTAGCTCAGGGAGGGAGCAAAACTCCACCTATTGTTTCTGATAAGTGCAGATGGTTTTCAAAGATGTTTACATAAATAATATTCTGCCAATTTAAGCTGTTAATTCAGGGAAACAGTTATGAATGAAGTTGGATTCATCTACTGACGTCCCTCTCTGAAAAGAGATTTCAGATATTCCCGATGCTGCTAACTATTGTTAAGAATCTTCAAATATGACTAATTACAAAAGTAGAAGCCTTCTTTTTTGCATGATACAGCTTGATTTAAGAGTAAACTGTAAGCCACAAAATGCATCTGTTTAGTAGCTTGCTTGTCTAGGGACAGCTGTGTATTTGACAGGTTTCAAAATCTACATCTCATATACAGATTAACTTGCTTTTGAAAGCTGACTGGGTGAGAAGGGGTGAGAGGAGGTATTAATTTTGTCCAAGTCTGCTTCGAAGTTAGGAGCCTCATCTTCCTAGGCTGCATACCTGGGCAGAAGACCCCATCTCTTCCCCAGTTAAGCCAGCCAGAAGTGCCCCCAGAGGGGCCTCTTTTCCCTCTCTCTTCCCCCCTCTGCCCCTGGAGTTAGGGCGCCTGCAGTTAAGGCAACGGCTGTTGTTCCTGCTCTCCAATTGCCCTTTCCTTCCCAGAAAAGATTCTGCTTTGTATGCTTAAAGCACTTCCTTCTTGGCAGAAAAGGCTCCTATTTCAGGAAGAGGGCAGTGAGTGCTGAACAGCTCTTGGCTTTTGTGTCCAGAAATTTTGTAACCTCTTCTTCTTGGACTTGACCATCCTATTTCCCAAGCCAGAACGTAGCTGCCTTTTTCTTCCATCGGTACAGTAAAGCCCTGTGCATGGGGACGGTGTGATTCTGTGTACAGCCACCTCATTGTCCTTTTGAAATATGAGCGATTCCCTTTCCCTGCTCCACCTGACAGGACCACGGGGATCTGGAAAATTACCAGTTTGCTGATCTGACCTATCCCCCCCTTTCCCGTGGGCTCACAGAAAGAGAGACGTTAATGTGAAACATCTGCTCAGAGCGCTCACGGCTCTGGGCTCTTCCAGCAGGTTGGCTTTGAGGGGCTGTTTTCATTATTGAACTGGATTAAACCTGATGATTCATTGTTGGTAGAGTGCCCCAGAGCTCAGCATATTTCTCTGCAGTAGTAACAAGTTTGGGCCACATGTTTTTCGCTATTGCTCTTGTAACTGTTTTCAGCTCTCTGCTCTTCATTGACAGTCTCTTTTGTGGTTTTTTCCAGCTGCGGCCATCGTTATCCCGTGTTTGTCAGCAGTGGTGTCAGGCTATGGTGAGTGTTTTTCCTGCTTTGAGCGGCAGCCCTTGGCCACCCCATTGACCTTTGTATAGGCTTGGCTCAAGTACAGAATTGACCTCAAGTTTAGTGATGCATCAACAGAAACGCTCGTGATGTAGGTCCACCTTGGATCTGAGTGTTCAACCAGTGGCTGCTGCTTGGCTTTATAAAAGGCCTCTTTCCCCCCAAATGCATTAAGAAGGAAAGCAGAAATGCTAAAAGTGCTGCTCCACACTGTAAGTGTGTAACCCTGAAGCAATAACCACCCCTGCAGGACGGAGGCTACAGCCCTTCCTGGTCACTTGTACGCTGCCCCTTTTCAGTATCGCCGGCGATCCATGGCTGTAGTTCCCTCTGATCGCACCATGGGGAGGGAAGCAAACCAGCTGTGTTACGGTGGAGGTGCCACGGCCCTCAACCCCTTCCCTTCTATGAGTGTCCTTCACAGAAGGGGAGCTAAGTGGGGCTCTGGGGATAGGAAGACAACATCTCGACCCTGGGAAATTCAGAAACATCCTGCACAGGAGCATAGGAAAACCCCAAATGGACTTGTACCTCTTTCTGAAAACTCTCAGCACACCGTACCGGATAGCTTCAGAGCTAACAAACAGCAAAGATCTGTTCAGAGTGACCAGTGGTATCGCACTTTGATTTTGTATTGTGTAACGTAGCTTGTTCCAATATGATGGAGAAACTTGAAACCACCTTATTTCTGGTTATGGTTAAGAAGATGAGGTAGAGTGGGCAAAGGCCATGAACAGCACTGGGCAGGGAAGGGCCTGCGTTCTCTGAAAGACACCAGCCATTGCTGCCAGCAGTAAAATAATTTCTTCCTGATTGCTTAGGAAAAAAAAAAACAAACCTTCTAAGGAACCTTCTGAAACCTTCCGGGTTTGTGGCACTGGTTGCTATGTCGTTGCCTTGTAAAGCAGAAGTAGCTGTGTTGCCATCTGTGGATGACACAGTTCTTTCTCTAGCTTTGGTTTGGTTGGTTGCCAGCACTACAGTGCTTGCTGAGGTGAAAAAGTAAGGCTTTGCTCATTAATGTCACTTTTATGTTGCTCTTATTTAACTTGCATCCATGCTTCTGTATTTATTATACAGAATAATATTTTATTATACAGAATAATTTATTATACACCTGTGCCTCCTCAGCAAATCTAAGGAGGTACAACCTAAAGCTTTTTTTTGTTGGGTTTTTTTTGGGGGAGTGGGAGGGGAGGAGAGTGCACTATAAGTTATCTGTAGACAACCACTCTTGACAAGCCTGGTGTTTTTTCAATGAAGCACTCACGTTTATCTTGGTGGAGGAGGGGAAATAAATGGAGCTTGGGCAGCGAGTGTAAAATGAAAGGAGGGGGAGATGCATGTGGGAAATACCCCCAAAAGAACAAGGCTCCAAAAGCTGCAGCAGTGCCTTGCCCTGCTCACCTTCCCTGCCCCAAGCAAAACCCCCATCCCGAGTCCTGGCTCTCTGCTTGCACAGGCTCTGCCGGCCAGAAAGGACGAGTCATGGGGATCCTGAGGAGCCTGGGTGCCCTTGCCAGAGCCCTGGGACCGATCCTGTCAGCTACAGGTGAGTGGGGCCGGGTGCTCCTGCCGGCCTTTGCCAACCTACAGCAGCACTCCGGGCCGCTGCAGCCCAGGTGGGGCGGAAGGGGAAGGGCAGCACGTTTCAGAGCCGTAACCTTGTCTTTGCAGAAGTAGGTGCCTCTGCGAGCTGCCCTGGGGCAGGACACCGTCCTTGTTAGCACCAACGGAAGCCTCATGGATGAATTTAAAATTCGTACAAGCAGAGCTAAGCTAGACAGCCGGTATTACCTGACTTTCTAAAAATTCCAGCAACAACATCAAACTAACCAAGCCCTGGGTGCAGCTGTGTGGGCAGATGAGATCCACAGAGGGCCTGGCCTGTGTGCAGAGGGAGCAGGAGGCTGACTGGGAACCAGTACCTTTGGTGGGCTTCTTTTTAGCCATTACAGCAAGTAACCCCCACCTGCCGAGGGGCCACCCAGGCACTGGGTAAGCAGGAGGCCCTGAAATCAGGGTTTCCTGGGCTGTGGTAACTGGTTCCCCACATCTCATGAAGTTGCAGCCATTAAAATTAAGTAGGGACAATCCGTAATGTGCAATAAAGAACTTTTTCAGCATTCAAAGCATCTGTAGCCTACAGCCTAGATTAAAGAGTGCACTCTGCCAGTGCCCTGGAGCCTAGTGGCCCTGGCTAAGGCCAAACCTAGGCTGTGCCTAAGGAGCACAGATAAGCCCCGTACAGGGTTCAGTACCCCCAAGCCATTATAGGGTAAAGGGACAGAATAAGGGGGAAGCAGTCACACAGCAAGTCAGAGCTTGAACTCAGACTTAACGTTAAGTTTGAGCAAAGCCAGAACCTGTTTCCTTACTGCATCCATCTGCCAAGCAACTGGCTTGTTCTGGCTCACCAAACCACTGCCCTGTACCGCAGCGAGCACTCCTGTGCACAGGCGCTGCCTCAGAGGAAGAGCCAGCCTTTAGACTTTACAGCAAAACAGCTTCCGAGCACAGCACCAGTCCCGCTCTTGCCCTCCCACCTCGGCACTGGATGCACGAGCGTGTCGCGTAAGGAGACCGATACCAACAGTGAGAGCCCTTCAAGAGCAGCACAGGCAGCACCAGGTGCAGGGTTGGAGGACGTGCTGGGGCAGAGTTAGAGTTAAAGAGTCGCCCTGTAAAGCTGAATGAGTGCCTAGGAACCGCCTGTTGCCATCCTGGCAAGAATGAAAATATTTTATTTAAAATAAGCACTTTTAACGTGCTGGTTCCTTGGGAGAGAACCAGCACTGCTGTTACCTACCTCCTTGTTGTAGCTAGTGTGCCAGCAAGGACGTGCAGTAAAAGAGTTCAGTAGTGCTGTGTTCTCCAGTTGTATCGGTAAGTGGTTGAGAGCAGCAGCTTTGAAGGCCAGTTAGTTTACACAGATGCAAGGACAAGCACACTAACGAGCTAAATCTCGTTTCTTTTGCAGTGTACTGGCTGGCAGGGGCAGAGGTTTGTTTCACTGTCTGTGCAGCTTTCTTCCTCATCCCCTTCATTTTACTTGGTTCTATAAAACAGCAGACAAAGGAGGAGTAGGAATTAACCACCCAACCATCACCAGCTTCCAAGGACCTCGACCAGCCGTGACTCTTGGCACCTGACTCTGCTGACCAAATACAAAGAGAAGGATTTTGATCTTCTGGAAGGGGACAGGCAATGACCGTTTGCAGCAACAACAGACTTCGGGTTTCCTGCGGCCCTCCACAAGCGGTTACATTTAAGATGGCCTCACAACCAGCTTGGCTAGTTTTGCAAATAGAAAAAACCCCACAAAAGAGTTCAGATCACCAGCCAGGCAGAGACTGGTGCGACAGCGAGGCAGCACGGTGCAATCCCCGTTCATCATCCAGTGCTGTCAAACACCAGCCTCGGCTCCGCTCCTCTCCCTTCCTCACCAGCACAAGCCAGACCAAAGGCACTGCCCGAAGCCCCTGCCGAGAGGACGCTTTTGTCTGGGTTTGGCTGTCAGAGAACAGCTCCACAAGGCGCCTCTAACAGAGGGGAGGGGAGGGAGGGGGTCCTGTACAATTGTCACAAGAGCTCCACAAAAGCTCAGCAGACCTGGTAAAAGCTGTTACCAACTGCCTTAAAAAAAAAGTCAGTGAAAACCAAAAGCGAGCAGCATACTACAGGCTTCCTGAGCCTGCCTGGTACTTTGGCACAGGTGGACTGTTTTTAATATACCATTAAATTTTGAGAACTGTTTTATATTTCTAATACTGTGTGATGTTTTTTGATGACCAAACACTGTTCTTTCTGCATGACAAACGGTTACATTGTACACTCCTCCAGTCAGTTAATTACCATGAAGATGTTACCAAACCTGGCTGGCTAAGCCAAAGTGGGGATCCAGAACCAAAAGCCTCCTGGAGGGAGCCAGCCGCTGAGGACCGCAGGGCCAGGCTGCTGCAGGGAAGGCCCCCTCCAGCAGGTTCTGCCTCCTGCACAGCTGGGACCCTCGGGGAAGGAAGCCCTGCAGGACCCCACTTAAGTATTTTCTGAGAATACACTGAGGCAATCATTAATCATTAAAATAAAATAGAGTGAATTAAATTCAACAGGCTACAGCTGTAGAATAAAACTGTACAAGTTTTGAAAGCAGAGCACGTTTGTTTGGTTTGTTTTTTTAAAGAGTTTTATTTGTGAGTAGAACTTAATGATACAAGAAAGAAAGAAAAATACAGGACTTTATTCTGCCCCAGAGTGTGTAACCATACCATACATGACTACATTTCATATTGTAATACAAAGAATTAAAAGAACAAACTACAAAATTAGAAATTAAGAGTCATTGCATATGTGGTCAAGATAAATGGAGGGACTCCATTAAAGAACTGAAACATAGAGCAATTAGTCATTTAATTACGACCCTGCAATCAAACACAATTTAGCAAAATAAGTATTGTATGCTTCCTAGCGTACAGAGGAGATACAAGGTTAAAGTACAAGCTGAAAGCCACTCGTGCCATGCAGTCCTGACTCAACAGTGCTGCTCGGGGGTCTCCTGCACAGTGCCTTACTCCTGCTTCTCTTCCGCCCCAGCACCACCCGCCCCACAACGGGTGACATCCCATTTCTCACCCTATCCGTTACTACCTCCGCACTTCTTTTCTCAGGGGAAGCCTTACCGCTCTCATTCTCCTTCCAGCTGTTTCTCCTTCACCACCTGACCCCAGGCCGAGCCCAGCGAAGGCCGCCTTCATCCACGGCTGCGCCCAGCCCCTCAGCCCACCGCTCCTTTGATGTTTGCTGCTGCATGAATGTAAGGCATCCGTCTTCTGCTAGTTTACCGATTGCAGTGTTTAATAGTGTCCTAAAAGGTTACATCCACCTTCCGTTTTGTACAGACACTTACTGTGAGTCAACGTGTTTCCCTCTCCCGCACAGGGCTGGGAATGTTTTCTGCTGTTACCACCAGAAACGCCAAACTAGACACCAGAAATGGTTACCAACCTTCCCTGCTTTTGGCTGGGGTAATTAAGCACGGTTTTCAGAGAATTCCTGCAAGCTTTACCTATCTGATCTGAAACTACTTTTACGATTAGTGATAGACAGAAGCATGGCAATAACTGGAAAATAGTGAATTCAGTGGTGAAAGCCATTGTCTTTACCATGCTACGTATTAAACAAACATTTATAGCGAACTGTGAAAATACACCTTTAAGGTTACTTGGGATTTCCATACTTAACTGCTGGCAACAAAAACCCAAAATATTAAAGAAATGCCAGTTTTTGTAACTGAAAATAATTAATATAAAACAAGGGTAAATACTCAGTGTAATGCATTTACATTTTTATCATGGGAAGGAACAAACACAAAAGGCTGCAAACAGGGTTTATGTGCAGCAGGTTTGCACATGCACCCAAGGGATTTTTAAGAGGGTGAAAAAACCCTGCGCTAAGGCCCAAAACACAACTGCCCCTGCTTCGCACCACCAGCTGATGAAAAACTTCTGAAATACTTTTAATACAGTTACTTTTTAACCTTTAACAGCCAAATTACCGTATGACTGATTCTTAGGGATGCAAGATTGAAAGACAGATTTACCTTAAACTGTATTCACTAGGAAAGAAAAAAAAAAAAAAAAAGATCAGGCTCTTTCAATGCACAACATGAGTGGAACACACCACAGTTATTTCAGTCCTAGACATCAACGATGACTTCACGAGCCAGTTATAAAATAAAGTGAAAACCAGCTTCATTTTGTTACAATAGCCAGAAGGGAGAAAGAGAGGAAGGGATGGATGGCCTCAAAGCTTGACTAAAACATGACCTGTAATCACAAGCTCGCAGGAGTTTACATGTCAGCTGAAGAACACATCCCCCTTGATAACACCAGGGCAAAAGCATCCTCTCTTAAAAGTCAATATTTAAGAAGAAATTTACTTGTGACTTAGAACAGAATATTGGAAAAGAACACTTCTTGTGGTAAGCAACACGTGTTTTATTTTTAATTGTGAAAGTTTTTTTTATTCTTTTGTAAAGCAGTGCGTGCTTTAAATTAAAAATAGTGATCCAATGCCTTCCACATGGAAGTCACTGACATTTGATTACAAATTAGGGATCAGATCTGTGGTAGCTGCTGAGAACACGGGATTAGCACCTTTTTGGATGTGAGTTTCTGGTTATAACCTTAAACAATCAAGCTGTAACTGGAGGGGCTGGTTGGATTACTTGTTGCATTCATTTACATAATAAGACAAAACACTCAGCACGATCTGGTACATTCTAGTGGTTAATGGATTTTAAAACATGACAGTGTTTCTGCAGTGTGTTTGGCCTTTAGGAGTCACTCTTCTTTTTGCTCTTCTTCAGGAAGGAAGGAGTGCGAAACTTCTTTTTCTTTTTTGATGGGGACTTCCCTGGAGATTCATCACTACCTGCATCAGCTGCTGTCCCCTCCTCGGCTGTTGGCGTTACGGCCTCTTCAGCGGGTTGAGACTGGGGTTCCTTGTTTTCCACTGCAGGTGATTCCGTTGGGCTTTTGGGCACATCATCATCACATCTCCCTTCCTCCCTCCCTAAGGGAGGGAAGCCGAGTGCTTCTGAAGGCTCATCAGGGGTGAGATCTGGGAGGGTTTGCTTGAAAGTTGCAGCATCACTGTCATCTTTGTAAGTCTGGTCCCGCTGTGTCTCTGGTGGGCGGACAGACAATAACACGGTTAGTTCACCTAAGTGTCCCTAGAACAGAGCGAGCCAAGCAAGTCGATGGTGAGGGCTCTCTATAAAAACACCTAACGTATTTACTTTGCATAAAAGCCTTTGTAATAGGTCTGTTCTCCTTTAGCTTTGGATAGAAATTCAAAAGTTTTGTTTGGTTTTAAGCTTCTTCCCACAGAACAGAGGAAGCTGAATTCCATCATGCGGGTGTAAACCAGCAAGAAAGTAACAGTTCAGACTTCTCTCACGTTTTCTTCGCAAGCAACATGAGACTTCAGTACAGTAAGCAGGAATTAAACCTACAGTTTTCACTGGCACTGAAGAGAGCGTCACAAATTGCGTATCTTGATTCTTTTTTTCTTTTGGTGGGGTAAAACTAATTGCTGGCTTGCAGAGATCCGGTATAAGCAAATCCATTAATTTCTAAACTGTTGGCTTGCCAATTTTTAATCACAATGCTTTTGTGAGATCTAACAGATGTTGCCTCAGTATATGATCTCCTATCACAAAGGCTTAATTTCTTTTGCAAGATATGAGTATATATTATGGATTCCTGTAAGTAAAATCCATGTAGTTTATCAAATTAAGTGAGCTCAGCATGTTATGCGATACAGCTTTTTTTTGGTTTTAAATGTATGAGATGTCTAACAGCAAAACTCACCCCTGTATAAAGGAACATCAAAAATCTAGTGGTAACTTTATCTCCAAAGGTGAACTTTACCAGCACTCCCTCAATTGTAACACCTTCCTATTCCATCACTGCTATGCTTTAGAGATGTTCTGTTTAAAGCTCCTCTTTGTGCACATATATTTAACAACGAGCACTTTTTCAAGTTCCCCTGCAATGTTCATCGCTGAACTGTAGCCAAGAAGTATCTCGTTAGCTGTGTCAAATACATCTCCATTCATGTTACGTAAGGAGGAATTCAGAACAAAATCCAGGCCATACCCATTGTAAGCCACAAAAGAAAAGCAACGATTTTTTCCCCTTTTAAAATCTCATTCATTTTAATTTGAAAAGACTGAAAGCTTTCACAAGAATTTACAGAAAATACTGGATACTTTCCCATTCTTCCTATGGAAATGACAATGAGTGTTCTTTTTATTTCTGCCAGATGGGATTAATAATTCTCTAATATATTTTAGAGGGCTCTGCTCTGTGAATACCTGCTAGAAAACCAACATGTTTTGCCTAGAGCACCATGAACTTCTGATAGGTTAAACAAACAAAAACACACTAGTATTCAGTGCCAAACACTCAGAATGCACAAGTTAGCAGTTTAGAAGTTATAATGCAGGCAGGATTTAAAAAGGAAAAAGCAATTATGTACATTACAAGCTGCCTCCTGAAGTTCTAGTTTAACCTGTATATGTT